CACTGTACTCCAGGGCATGACCTCAAAACGGGAAAGGTCTGGCTGTAAGTGAGCATCACATGCACAAATGAAAGAAACATATTGCACCCTTAATGGAACTTGAAGATTTCACAGTCACACCAACAAGTTTGAAAATAGCCTCAGTGAAGTATCCCCCACCTCACCTCCTAAGCAGATGCAAATAAGAATTCTGCTTAGTTCTGATACTTTCAAGAAGGAAACGACCACGGCTGCCTACGCTGCCCATCTGTGATGAAAATTCTTTTAAAGAGGAGGCTGACAAGAGAACAGTACCCCCCCCACACACACACAGTTCCTACAATGCATCCACCAGTGTCCCACAGAATGATCCAGAGCAAAGGAAGAGATGATTTCACTCGGGAGGGGCTGAGTCAAAAAGGTTCTGGAGAACCTTTTCACTCCGAACAGCTGCACGTCCTTCTGTTCCAGAAGGTTTCCTTGAGAGCCCTCATAAATGCAGCGCCTGCCTCTTTTAAGTATTGTACCACCAACAGCTCAAAGAACCATTTCATATCCTGGTGGATTCTTGTTCCTTTTTAAGCACCACGTTCCGTTCAGCGTTTGGGTGAAAAACATCCTGGCACAAGAAAGGGGCGAGATGCAAAGGAAAAGTCAGCATGGTATAAGCAGGGGGCAATTTCAGACGGGATGTCTGTGCACCAAAGTGACCCAAAGCTTTCGAGGGGAACAGAAGGGGCCCTCGTTCCAGCAGCCAAGATGCCCTTGCACCAAATACAGGAAGCCAACAGCCAACTCTGGCCACTGGAAAAAATGTGCCATCTCAGAAAGAGCAGCAATGGGCACAGGAGTCTGGGAGATGGCGTAACCAACGCCAACGAGGAAGACCAGAGTGAGCATCAGCCACAAAGGACCGAGATTTAATGGGTGACTTCAAAAAGATCTGGAGGCCACTGTGCCATTTTTAGAATCAAGGGGGACAAGCTAATTTCTGCTTCCTTTGCCTGCCAGAATCTTGAGCAGCTGGGCGCATTATCAGAAGGGAAGGAGCCTATGGCCAGCTCTACAATGTGCAGCTGTGCCAGTTCAGAACTTCTTCATCCACGGAGTAGCTCCTGATTTGGATGCAGCTGGAAAGGTCTAGCCTGTAAGACATGAGAGGAACGCCTTTTGGTGATTGTGACGCAGGTGGGGTAGGGACAGTGATCCTGAAAACACAAAAGGGGCCTGGAATCTGCATGCATTCCAAGGTGCTTTCTGATATGAGAGTCTCGCTTTTTTTAAAAACTGGTTCAAATTAACAACAGCAAGAACAATAACAGAATTCTGGCTCAGCAGCGCTTCCAGGCAACACACCTCTTCTAAAAACTGTGACCTGAATACCATTGATTAGAAGTAACTCTTGACTTCCAGCCCCGATCAGCAAGTCTCAGCTGGTTTGAGCCTGATTCTGTTCACCTGCATCTCTAGGACCACAGTCTGGTGAGGCTAATTCTGAAACCAAAGGGCCATTTTCACACCATTACCTAAGCCAGAGGTCCCCAGATGTTGTTAGTCTACAATTCCCAGAAATCTTGGCCAGCACAGCTGGTAGTTTTAGTGCAAAAACATCTGGGGACCCAAGGTTGGGAACCAATGATCTAAGCCAGTGGTCCTCAACCTTGGGCCTCCAGATGTTCTTTGACTTCAACTCCCAGAACCCCTAGCCAGCAGAGGTGGTGGTGAAGGCTTCTGGGAGTTGTAGTCCAAGAACATCTGGAGGCCAAAGGTTGGGGACCACTGACCTATGCTACGGATTGTCAGATGTCATCAGCATACTGATGGCAGCCAACTCACAAAATTCTGTACCCGCCTTCCGAGTGGTTTTGCATAGCCTTCGAGGTGTCTGCGCAGGCCATCTCACGGCTCACCAGACAGAATTAATCTAAACTAGGTTAATGAGCAGCAACCTTTAAAATCGCCCCCAGAAACTCTTGCCTTGGCAATGCTGTCTGGATTGAAACAATCAATATGGTGTCTGCCTTTCAAGTGTAATAGAGATCAGGTGACCAGCAGTTTTACCTGGATTTAGTCTTATCCAGTTTAATATTTTTTTAAAAATCAAACTGATAAATAAGAATTGAGGATCAGAAGTGACAAAGGAAATGGCTTAGCTTAGAAAAACAGGGTCGGGGAGGACGCCTGACAAAGTAAACACCGTCTGTCTAAGTAGCACAAATGTTTTTGAGTTTCCCCAAATGCCATAATCCACTGAAGAGAAAATTATACAAACCAGGAAGCACAAAAAGCAGAGCCTTCAATATTGATTCATGTATTCAGTGTTTCAGGAAAGCCACCTTTCTCCTGAACAACAGACGAGACGCAAGTAGAAATAAGCAGGTGACTCAGAAGGCTGGCTACAACTCCAGACAACAAGACCTTTAGCTTGTGAATAATGGCATTGTTGAGACAACAAAGGAGTAGGCTTCATTAAGGGGGTATCGGACATATGCTTCCTTTATGTAGGGTCTACAACAGATCGGGAGCATGAGGGCAGGACAGAAAAGAACGAAACTGGTTGGGATGTCACCTGGGGTCTAAATCTGAGCCAATGACCAAGTTCTAATTAGTCAAGCAGCTTGCTTCAGATGTCATTGGAATTTTGGGCTTGATTTGGGCTTTTTACTGTCACAGAGAAACCAGTCCCTTCCAAAACCAATTGAATGTTCCCATCGGTACACACGCTGACGTATACAAGAAACGTACAGATGGGAAGACATAGTGAAATGTTTCCAGCTTCTTACCAGAACATACAATAAGACCCACAGCCTACGGCCAATCCTTACGGCAGAACTACGTCCAGTTAGCCTCATCAGACCGAGACTGGCAATCCAAGGATTTAAGTCAGGTATTGAAATCTGGTAGTTAAGGGTACTTCGTTAAACAAGGTTCACAATTGCAGGATTTTAGTCAGGTGTTTTTCAGACGATGGTACTCGCTCAACAAAAAGAAAAATACAGATCAACAGGATCTGACTGGCAACCAGGAAGAATTTACCAGAGATAAAAGCCAGAAGAGAAAAACAGCAGATAACATTCCAGATAATGCCAGTTAAAATATACCACCAGTCACCTACAGTCTATCTTGGGCGTTTCCCTCTCACCGGGATTGCTCACCGAAAACCACTCAAGCTTAAAAGCCAACGCAACAGTAAAAGGCTACTCCACAGAGAGACAGATACAGGAAACAGATCCTTTTGAAGTCCCAATGGCCAATTTTGTCCCCATATTTGGTTTGGTGATAGGTGACCCTAAGAAATTTATCCACAATGCCAGGGCTTAATATGCTTTTCGGTCTTCCAACATTATATATGCCAACATGTTATGTGTCATCAGTTGCTAGCAGTGCCTTGCTACCTATGAGAAGATGAGGCTGTGGGTAGAATAATACACAGATACACTTCTGACATCAAAAAAGACAGCATTCAAAGTCCAGGAAAAAGATATTTTCCCTTCCCAGGACACGCTGCCGCTGACCTTAAGATACTTATTTTGGAACAAAGGGATTTCAAAGACAGATTCCAACGGCAATTTTCTGAAAAAGAATACTTCAAGAGGCTCAGCGATTTCTGCCATGGCATGAATAGAGACAAAGACTTTTTATCATTCTGCATGTGTTAATTAGCTTGCCAGTACAAGGAGGACTGTGTTACCACCTAACTAGTGTTTTATTAAGAGTTATTTTTAAGATAAATGGCTCAAAATAGATTTGTCCGTTGGTCTTCAACGTGTCACCTGACTCTTGGTTGTTCTGTTCAGAACCATGCATTTCCCACACCACGGTACTTCCATCTTGCCCATCTTAATTTTCAATTTATTTAATCTTCAATCATCCCTTGACTTTATTTAGATCAGGGATCTCCAACCTTGGGCCTCCAGATGTTCTTGGACTTCAGCTCCCAGAAATCCTGGCCAGCAGAGGTGGTGGTGAAGGCTGCTGGGAGTTGTAGTCCATCTGGAGGCCAAAGGTTGATTTAGATGACCAAGCAGGAAGGCCTACTGAGGCTTACTGAGATTATAGTAAATAGAAACAAGAAGTAGAATTGTGTGTGCATCGGCATACTGATGACCTTTTAACTCAAACAGAACTGGGAGGACCCTACATAAGCAAAAGATCATGAGAAAGCAGATGTCCTCAGCAAACGGCAACTACATATATCCTGCTAGGAAAGACTGAAGTCAGCACAAGACACTGCCTCCTAAATTTCCCCCCGCTAGTTTTCTCCTGTTGGCCTCAAAAGGAAGTTCAAAATAGGTTTCAGCACTGTTTGGCATCTTCGTCTCTCAACTGTGGAAATGGTAGCCATCTGATCACTCCATTGACTGATCTGCTAGCATGTTGAGGCCATCGGACAACACTGTGCATGATGCCACCCACGTACCGCCCCATAAAAAGACCCGGTTAGGCAGTGTAAGATTCAGGTCTGGACGAATCTGTTCACAAATAGATTCTAGACCAGAAAACGCGCACACAAAATTGAACCGTCACTAATGGTTCCTTACATGGACTCAAGTGGTTTTTATGTACCTAACTTTCGAAAAGTCTCAGAACTGGAATAGTAGTCTGCAAGGCCCAAGACAGATATACGTAGATCCTTTCCAAATAGATCTTATTTTTTCATCTGCAGTTTACTACTAGCTTTGATCCTCTCCTAGCTTATATACATGCTCAGACTTCAAAATTTTTTATCCCACCACACAACACGGCGGGGGTGGAGAGGGGGGTGGAGTGTAGCTCTATGATTGTCAGAATTATTATCCAATCAGCACTTGGTAAAGCCTGGTAGGGAATGAAAGGATGATTTCATGTTACAAGGACCAGCAAGCCAGGACTCTCCTGGAACCAGTAGAAGGAACTGGCCGGATGCTCTCTGAGCTCATATATTCCTCTACATGTGCGCATCGGTCTCCAGGCTATGCTTTCTAAACATTTAGGCAGAATACAGTGGGGGAACCCTTCCAGCAAATTGAAAATCAGCTCACCAAACATGTTCCCAATATGTCCATTCTTCGTGAGAGGCCTGAGTTCATTTTTCCCCAAAGCGTATTGCTTGTAGTTATCCCAAGCAAACTTCATCATCTGCAAGAAAGAGAGACAAGTAGCTTGTTAGCCAGACAGCTTCCTTTGTAGCTTTTGATAGCCATGGTGCAAAAAAGAAAAAAAGGGATTGTGCTGGACAGAGGCTACCGTTCGTTTCGACAGCAACTCTGAGAACTGACCTAAAATGCACAGTCAGAATAAAGTGTGCTGTTTATAGACCGCCTCATCCTACTTAAAGCACTCTTTGGGCAGTTTGCAATTTAATTAGGCAGACTACACATGGCAAGCCGGTACTTAATTTACTGACCTCAGAAAGATGGAAGGCTGAGTCAACCTCGAACCAGCTATCTGAGCTCATTGGAATCGAGCTGAGCAGAGTCTTGGCTGCAGTAATGCAGTTTAATCACTGTCCCATGAGGCTTGATAACACCGACCATTTATCCTCCAATTATACAGAACCTTATCCCAGGACAGTGAGAATACGCTGTGTAATATGTCATTTTACAGCACTAAAACACCAATCACAGTCCATCAATCTTAAAAAAAAATCTCTACTGGTTCATTATGCGTAAACTAGGAACATTTTATAGATTACAAATTCAGATACTAAGCTACGTAGCAAATCAATACTAAATTCTATAGCAGTATTTCTCAACCTTTTTTTTTGAGTCGCCAAAAATCAACCCACTTTTGTAATAGTCAAGTAACCTGTGACCTCCCGTCACATTTGTCTAAAAAGGCATTTTTCACGAAGTAAAGAAAATGCATTATAACCGTTTTTTCAGAATATAATTCTAACCAATGTATTTATATGAATGCAATAATAAATAAATGGAGGGGGGGAGGCTATGAATCTACCTGTACCAGATGAAATTTGAGAAGAAAACATGTCAATACACCTTTGAGTTTAATTTACTCTTTTGGGTGTGGAAACGAACCCTCCCTGCATGTTTCCTCCCCATCAATGAAGCGCCCCTCCCTGTCTTCCTGCCTCACCTTTCCGCCCCTCTTGCTTTCCGCCTCCAGATGCCTGGAGCCATCTCCCTGCCCTCGTCCCCTCTCCCTTCACTGCCTCGCTATCGCCACACCCGGAACAGTCAGAAGATTCAGGCGGAGCAAAAGATACCACTGCTGCAGAGGCAGCCATTTTCTACTCCTGCCGCCATTTTGTGTGTTGGCGTTCCTGGCATGCACCAGGCACTGGCCTCATTTCAGGCCTCACTGAGCCAGGCGAATGCTCGGACCCAAAGGGCTGGTGTCAGTCCTCCAAACATGGATGCAGAGGAGCAGAAAGAAATCTTTCGGAGGAAGCAGGAGTGACAGACAGACATAGAAGAAAAACCTGTCCAAAGGGGTACAGGAAATAACGAAGTACTTTCGGTTGCCTGTAATTCCTGTTCAGATTAAATGTCTCTATCTGTGGGCCAAGAGGATTAAAACAAAACAAAATGGTGTATACCATACTGGATATTGTAGTTATAAAAATAATTGCAACCAAAAATAATTGCAGTGACCTCCTCCCAAAAACACTTCACAACTCCCTTGTGGGTCACAACCCCTAGGCTGGGAACCCATGTTCTATGGAGCGTTTAAACATAAATGTATCAGCCATTACCTTGTTCACATTACTGTTGTGTTGTGATGTTAGACACAACTACGGGAGGCAGTGGAGGATAGGAGGGCCTGGCGTGCTCTGGTTCATGGGGTCACGAAGAGTCGGACACGACTAAACGACGACGTGATGTTAGACAAGTGCTTGGCTATGTCCCTGACAAGACAATTGGACCATCTGACTGCAACCACTTTCATGTCTTCTCCTGATTGTGGGGCAATTTGACTAGGTTGCTAGTTATTTTATCTATGAAGAATTCCTGTCTAAACAGTTAAAAGTAGCTTTCAAAAGTGACTTGAAAGCACTATTTGCCAATACTATACTGATAAAACGACTCTGTTCCTAACTCTTTCTGTTTACTTTTGATACGCAACATCCTTACACTTTTGTTATTTAATTTTGGCAAACTATAATCTGGCTATGTTACTTGTTACGAATTGTTTCCAAACTCCAATTCAGAATTTTAAGACTCCTAATTAGTTCCATCTAGTCAGAAGTGGAGAACATGTGGTTCCCCCAGAGGTGGCTGGGTTTCAGTTCCTATCATGCCACATCACTGCCTAGGCGAAGGCTAAAAGGAGTTGCAATCCACGAACATCTGGAGGGCCAAACACACCCCCATTGTCACATTTAGCTATTGCAGCTAATAACTATGGACAGACCTACCTTCCATGAATGGGACATGAATTTAGACATGCCAGCTGAAATCCTGTTGCTTAACATAGTAAGTTACAAGTAGAATAGACCAACGGAATTAATGGAACTGACAAAGGAGTTGTCTCACCAAATCCGCTATTGATTCGGTGAGCCTACTCTAGTTGCAACTTATTGCACCTAAGCAGTGTGATTTCAGCCAATGTTCTGCTTAGATAGAGAATGACATGAAAAGAGGACCTAGTTTTAGCTTAATCCTGGAGACTGTTTTCAGCAGCAAGATCTAGATCATTCTGCTTACGAGCATGGCCAATTGCAGAAAGCAACGACCTCCAGGAGGTCATTAATAGCCTAGGCTCTCACTCAAGGTCTAATCCTGTGCTTGCAATTCCGACAGTAAACAGCAATTATTTAGATAAATCCTGCCAGCTTAAATGTGCCAGATATGTGGGAAGAGGTTTCCCCACACTTACAATGCCCAGATATTAAAAATTAAACTAAGACAGATGACATATGCTGATTTGGAACGTCTTCCTTCTGGAGGCAAATCTGAAGGTGTCGGAAGGTGGTGGAAACAATGTTTTGAACCAAAGGCTGAAGCCAAGAGATGGTTGAAGGCAGTTTCGCTACCAAGGGTGTGTGCATTTACACTCTTTCTCGGCTAGCAGACAGGAGTGTGTATTGCTTCAAACATGATTGCAGGAGATTAAAAAAAAAGGAAGGGAAGTAATTCTCCCTGTCAAAGCATCACCTGCATTTAGCTGTTTGGAACTGGATACTTCCAGGAGACCACTGGAAGTCCCATGAAGAGACCAGGATGAACTGTCTAAAAGAAAATAGAACAGTTACGTGTATTTATATTAACCTGCTCATGTACACGCCTAGCCTTGCCAACAAAAGTCCGAATAGTCAAAGCTATGGTTTTTCCTGTAGTGATGTATGGAAGTGAGAGCTGGACCATAAAGAAGGCTGATCACTGAAAAATTGATGCTTTTGAATTGTGATGCTTGAGGAGGCTCTTGAGAGTCCCCTGGACTGCAAGGAGAACAAACCTATCCGTTCTGAAGGAAATCAACCCTGAGAGCTCCCTGGGAGGACAGATCCTGAAGCGGAGGCTCCAAGACTTTGGCCATCTCATGAGAAGAGAAGACTCCCTGGAAAAGACCCTGATGTTGGGAAAAGGCGAGGGCAAGAGGAGAAGGGGACAACAGAGGATGAGATGGATGGACAGTGTAATCGAAGCGACTAACATGAATTTGACCCAACTCTGGGAGGCAGTAGAAGACAGGAGGGCCTAGCGTGCTCTGGTCCATGGGGCCACGAAGAGTCGGACACGACTTAACAACCAAACAACAACAACATGTACACACACATAATGTTCTGGACCACACATCTGTTCTGCATTTATATAGAAACATCCCAGAAAATTTATAAAACTCATGACTTTAAAAAAAAAATACTGTCTTGTTTTGTGTTCCTTTGTTTTGTTTTGAATGGGGGGATTAAAAAAAAACATATTAGGTGTGTGTGTTTTTTTTGCAGAAAGAGTTCTCTGAAGAGTGTGGGTGGAGAGAGAGATTTCCAAGTAATCATCAAACTGGTTTTCCTGGAACGGCTCCTAATGACACATGTGTTCCCCCTAATGATACACTGCCAGAGTTTTCCCTTCTTCGCAGCCTCCCACCAGCTTTTCCTTTTCATTCATCGCTTACGCTTCAGCTGGCAGGGAAGGGAAAATGATATAGATCTATCCTTAAACGTTGCTTAGTGGCCTAACTTTACGGAAACAAGCCTTCCTTTTTTTAAAAAAGTGACATAAAAATACAACAGACCCTGGCACTTAAGAGCCAGGGTGCGATCAGGTTGAGAAATAACCCACTTTTGGAAAGCTTGTGACATGGTGAAAGCTGTTTTCCAGCAATCACAGGAGGTACAGGAGATTGTGAACTAGCCCAACCCTCATCGGTGCTCAAGCTGGACCTTTTCATTCCAGGGACAGAGCTACTCTTTTTAAGAGACTGGGCTTGAGTGATTCCTATAGGGGTAGAAGGGTCCCTTTAAGCAAAATCCCACCCACCCTTTCCGCCATAATCAGATGCCACCCTTTCTTGCCATCTGATTGCACTCTCCACTGATTCCCCAACAACAGTGATAAAGCCAGGTGTCCCTACACCAAACCGTACTTAACATTGGAGTCAATGTTATAGAAGGGCTTTCGCTGCTGGACAGTTCTCATACTTCAGTTCTTCCCTCCTCTTCCAGCTTCCGCCATATGTATGCATATATGAATATGTATGCATTGGGGGTGGGGCTATGCTCCTAACAATTACAGTGGTGCCCCGCTGGACGATTACCGCGTTTGACGATGAATCCTCTTAACGAAATTTTTGCAATCCCTTTTGCAATCGTAAAACGATATTTAGATGGGGGAATTTCGCTTAACGTTGATCGGTTACGAACGCTTACAATCTCTTTTTCACTTCAGTCTTCTGTCAAGACTTTGCCAAGAAACTTTACTCATTGTTCAGATAATGCAATGATCTCACCAGTAATTACCCACATCCTGGTTTCTCATCCCTTTTGGCATCTGGCACAGGAATCTTGTTTCCTTGCATTTTTTATTTCTTGGAGCAACCCTTTGAGGTAGGCCCAAGGCCACACAATGAACATCATGGCTGAGCGAGACTTGAACTTGTTTCATTGTAGAAAGTTGTTCCCCATCTACTACATGACGTTATTTGCAATTAGGGCTGAGATGGGCCTCCTTCAAAAG